CCTGGGTAGAGTGCCATGGCATCACGCTCACAGCAACCTCCAACTCCTGGGCTCAAGTGAGTCTCCTGCCTCAGCCTCCCAAGTAGCTGGGACCACAGGCTCCCCTTCCACAAACGCCTGGCAATTTTTTGGTTGCAGCCGTCATTGTTGTTTGGCAGGCCCGGGCTGAATTTGAACTCACCACTTTAGGTGTATGTGGCTGGTGCCTTAGCCACTTGAGCCACAGGCACCGAGCCAGTTTTTTAAAATCTTAAATGGAATACCCTGGATTATTTTAAAACAAAATGGAAATATAAAGGAAGTGTCAGAAACCCATATCCTGTGGATATTTTGAGTTGTCTGCATCATCTGGCAGTGATAACAATTAGGGTTCGGGAGGCTTTAAGGGGAAAGCAAATGAGGAGCAAGGGAAATAATTATTTCAAATTTGGCCATATGTCAGTGTGGTTTTCTGAGAACAAAATACTGAATGATAGAAGGAGAGCCAAATAAAATTTACAAAAATTTCCTAAACTTCCCCTTCCCCCACATTACTTCATAGTCAATCATGCTTCTTCTAGACTTAAAGCTCCTTGATGTCCTGAGTGGCAAAGTTTGGGGATTTTAAATTGCTCTGTGATCTGAATCCTGAACACATGTACCAGAATAAGCAATGAGGTGGTATTTGTATCAACCAAAGACTCCAATGTCATCTAGGAAACACCCACTAGGCTAACATGCTTGTACTGTGAACTCTGCCACCCCGAATTGCTGTGGACCTGCGTGATGGTATTCCTGGTGCCAGTCCCAGGAAATATTGTGTACATTGTAGTGTTTACTATGAAATGGAAATAGTTATTTGGTCACTTGTATATCCTTCATGTCTCTATATCATCAAAATATTATATAAATATGAACAATATCAGGGATATAATATGAATTGGGGTTTTTGTATGGCAAAATAGAGAGGGAGCAAATACCATTCTTGAGGGGAAACTATTTCTTCTTCTAAGAAACCTTTCCACTCAAGGAAGTAACCCCTGAAGGATGAGTTGTTTTGATGGATGTTGCATGGAAAATTCTCTTTGGGGTATTTAGGCCTCACTTTTATATCTACACTTTATAAAGAGAATGCTTATTCTTAGAAGCTGGCCGTCTCTTAAGTTGTATGAGACTTCTAGGAGATGAATCATAAAATAGAAAGATGAAGCTTGAATCATATGTTGGGTTCAAATATTGCTTTTGAAAAGAAAGCCTGGGGTGAATTTCACCAAAGTTTGGGACTTCATGGCTTTGTAGCCTGGGTTCTTAATGTCTAGTCCAATGTTTCAGTAACAGGCAAGATTACACTGAGTTGGCCCCATAAAATACCAGAGCTCCAAGAGTGAAAGCTGGGTACACAGAAAAACATATGATTCCCATCATTGCATCTGCACCACTGAGATCCACTTTCAGATTGATGGTTTTAGTTTAAGGTGACCAGATTTTAACATTGGTAAAGCAGGACACCATTGACTGGGGTTGGGGGTTTCTTAATTAAAAATTTGATCTATATGGAGCAACAAAAATGTTCATAGAGTGCAAAAATAGTATTGTAATATATTTTTTAAAATTTCAACATAAGTACAATTTACAAATATAATACATTAAAAAAATTATGTATAGTATTAGCCAAAAACTGTATATTCCCTTCCCATTCTCCTGCCATTCCCTAGCTTGTTGTGCATTATTTCCAAAAATTGGGACCTTTTTAAAATGCCGTGGGACATGGGACAAATTGTTAAAAATGGGGACTGTCCTGCCAAAAGCATAGCAAAATTTCTGGAATAAAAATAAAGTTCATCAGTTTGTTAGGGATGCTGTAACAAAGTACCACAAAGTCTCACAGTTCTGGAGGCTACAAGTCAGAGATCAAGGTGGCAGCAGGGCCATGTTCACTCCCCATGAAGGAGCTAGGGAAGGATCTTTTACATCCCCTTTCCTAGATTCTGGTGGTTTGCAAGTGATACTGGGCTTTTTGTGGCTTGTGGCAGCCAAATTCCAGCCTTCACATGGCATTCTCCCTATGTGCATTTCTGTGTCCAAATTTCACCCCAGTATAAGAAAACTAGTCAGATTAGATTATGGGCCCACCTTATTCTAGTATGATTTCATCTTAACTAATTATATATGCAATGATTCTATTTTCTAATAGGGTCACATATTAAGATACTGGAAGTCAGGATGTCAACATGTAGATTTCTCAGGGAGTGTGGGATGCAGACAAAACTCAACCTGTAAAGCAGAGTATACTGAGAAACAAATGGGAAGCAGAAGAATAGAAATAGAGTATTAGATAACTCTCTTGAAAGTTTGATTACAAAAGGAAAAAAGATTACGAGAGGTTACAGAGTTGATGGGAAAGGGTATTATTTTGATTTGAATCAAAAGATGAGCAAGATTTAAAAAATTTTAGAGTTCATGGAAGGAGCTAGTATAAACCTTGAAGGGAAGAACTTATCAACCCCAGTACCAGAAAAGGGTAAAGAATAAATAAAGAGAATTTATGGTCTGGTTTTTCCTATATGGAAGAGAATCTTAGTACATCAGGGAAGTAGAAGTAGTGGAGAAGTGCAGATTTGTGTAGTTTGTTAACCTTTGTTATTACAAAATTGGGACACTTCCCTTCTGATGGATTCTAATTAATATTATGACCTACTTTACAAAGTGGGAACATACTAACATATTGAGAATAAGGAGAGAGTAGAGTTGGAAGTTTAAAGAAAGCAATAAGTTTTTACAAAATTGATAGTGCAGAGTTAAGGAGATGCATGGGGGAATTCCAGATGGGGTTGGCATCCAGGTTGTGATGGGTGACCACACATGTATAGAGATACCAGTGTGCTAACATATGTAGATTTCTAAAACATGTTTATCTTCCAGCAGGAGAAATAGATATTAAATTTAATCCACAGATTGCATGTGGCAAGGAGGGTGACCAAAGGACAATGGAGACATGGATTTTCATTTATTAGTGAGGGAATACATGAAATTATTAGCCTTGGAATCTAAATAGGAAAGGATAAGAAGTAAAGTCAGGAGAGGCTGCTGGATCCAGAGAAAGTGAGAGTCCCTGCTGAGACTGATATACTGGAGGAGTGGGGGCAGGTAAGCAAGCATAAGACGTTAAGCCTCCTGTTTCATGAGACTATTCAATAGTCGATGTTGTCGCCATCCTTAAAGGGAAGGGCATCAGTTAGGATTTGTTTTAATCACAAGAGACACAGTTCCAACATCTAAGTGGCTTAAAGATATAAAGATTTATTTCTCACAAAAATACAAGTCTAGTATTGGACAGTAAAGTAGTTCCATGAAGTTGTCAAAAGCCCAAGTTTGGGCTTGGCACCTGTAGCTCAATAGGCTAGGGCGCCAGCCACATACACCAGAATTGGTGGGTTCAAACCCATCCCAGGCCTGCCAAACAAAAATGACAACAACAACAACAACAAAAGAACAAAAGAAATAGCTGGGTGTTGTGGCAGGCGCCTGTAGTCCCAACTACTTAGGAGGCTGAGGCAAGAGAATTACTTAAGCCTAAGAGTTGGAGGTTGCTGTGAGCTGTGACACCACTGCACTCTACCAAGGGTGACATAGTAAGATTCTGTCTCCAAAAAAAAAAAAAAAAAAAAGCCGAAGCTTGTTCTGTCTTGTCCATCATCCATGTCACATCGAAATGTGTTCTTCAGGCTCCATCCATTATGCCACATTCACTCAGCAGGAAAAGTAAAGAAAACAGAAGAGCATAAAATTGCTCTTTAGAGATACATCCCAGAAGTCACACACAACAATCAGGTTTATAAAGCACTGGTCATTTATTCACATGTAGCAGGGGAAGCTAATTGTTATACTAGGTTGTCTTAGGGCAAGGTAATAATATATTTATAATTAAGGAAAAGACAGAACTGATATGAGGAGCAAGCAGCAGTTAGTTGCAGAGCTTCATCTCAATAATCAACCAGTAAGGAGGAAGCATAACTCAGTTTCTGGCAGGTTGTGTAAAATTATACCCATCATTGGGGTCCAATGGCATCATTACTCATGGAAGGGGTACACATTAATTACAACCTCAGTGAGTTCTCCTTTACCTACATAATGGTCAAATGACCTGAGTCAGAGGACCAAAGCCTGAAAAGAGGTCTCAGAACACCATAGAATGCGCTTTGGGGAAAGGTGAACATGTGGGATCCATCTGTCATGTTATAGAATGATACATCTCCAGCTTCATAATCCAGGAATATCCCCACTGTGTGGGGGTTATCTCTCAGTGTAAGCTGAGTTTCTGGGGAGGTGAGGGCCCAGTACTCCCCCTCATAGAGCCTGATGGCCCAAAATCCATTCTGTGGGGACATTGTGACTTTCCCCTTCCTTGTTACATTGTCCCTACAAATTCCCAGGTCCCAGGAACCTGTTACCTCAACCTCTACCTCCCAGAAGCATCTCCCAGAGGTGATTCTCAGCTGACCCAACACACAAGGAAGCAAGTCAAATCTCTCTTTGAAGCTGGGTAGATCTTGATCCTTTTCTTGCCAGGTTACTTTTTTCCCATTTTCAGACAGAAAGAGCACAGGATGGGCAGTGGCTGCATCCAAGGTCACATTTACTGCAAAAACAGGTAGACCATCATGTCCCTCAAAAAGGTCTCAGCAAGACTAGGTGAGAATGACCTCTTCTACAAGAATGTCTTTGGCTCTGTTAGTTCTCCATCACCCATCTTTACTACATGATGAATAGGGTCTCTCCTGGACCACGGTAGACTCACCAGCCTGGAACTCTTCTTTCCGCCAATCTGCAAGGAAAATAATATCATGAGAATCCTCCATTTGAAAGGTAAAGCTGTCTGTGTGTCCAGAATACTCTGAGTGTATATTTCCAATGTTTAATTAAAGAATGGTAGCAGTCAAAGAAAAATTTTTTTATATACTTGTTATCCTTTTTAGAGGCTGTCACATTATGTCTGACTTGAAAACCTGACCTATGATCTCCTCATTCAACATTCCTACAGGATAAATGTCTATAGTCTATTTTTGATATTGAAAAGGAAATAAGGAATATGGTGAATCTGATTAAATTACATTATTTTTGCTTTTGTTTCCTCAGATAACCACTGTGACAATACCCACTGTGCATTCCCTCAAACATAATGTGAGATCCAAATTAAAAAGTAAAAATGCTCAAAGTTAATGTGTAAAACACATTACTCTTATAATAATGAGTAATATATTGTGGTCATGCAAGTTATGCTTTTCTTTTTCTTTGATTTCAATATATTGTTTGTGCATTGTAGCTCTGCAATTTAATTATCTCTGGCACTTGGATTTTTCTAGTCAGAGTCTATGTCACTTACCAGGGTACAATGGTGCATTCCTCCAGGCTGCAAGAGAAGAAAAAGGAAACCCTTAACTTTTTTCCCTTTTGTGTTTTCTCTTATTGTTTTTCTCATTTCTCCCTATCTTACTCTCATTTCTTTTTCTAAATCCTTCAGAGTACCTTCTTCCAGACTACCTCCTCATATTCCAAATTCTTAAAACATGATGAAAATAGTCAGGTGGAGGAAATACAGAAAAGTGAAAGGAACAAAAGGTGGGAGAGATGCGGGAGTGGGAAGGGGAACATGAAATAAAGAATGCAAAGAAGAAAGAGAGGAGACAAAATGTTGAAACAATTGTAGATAGCATGTTGGGACAAGTCATTAAAATTATTGAAATTTAGAAAGATAATGCTCCAAATTGTTCTTTGCTATATAGACATTTTTTGTTGCATTAATGCATTTTACACTGTCATAGTAGGGGCTAAGCCAGATGTGGAATCCATCAGAGACAGAAGAGTAGTGCTTTCCAAGAAATAATCATTACTCACTGGACTTGAATAGAGCCTTCATTCTACCTCAGAGAAAACATACAAACGTGAATCCTACAATTGCTGTAGGAATTAAGAGAGAAGCTGAACCCTCGAGAGATACAAGAATGAAGGTTTCTTAGACATAATTACTTACCATACTTATATTGAGCCTTCCGCTTATCTGAGGAAAAATATACAAACATGTATGAGATTTTCTTATAAGGATGATGCAATTCAAAGCGTGTATCGGCCAATGTTTGTGTCTACAACATTGGCCAAATCATATCTATTCTATTAGCAATGAAAGGAAACTCTAAAGTGTATTTCATTTGAAAACATCATTACATTTAAAATGATACAGCTTGATATATAGTGATATGAGAGTTAAATAATTCTCATAATGTGGTACTAAAAATGTGTAGAATATCAGAACAAAATCTTAGAGTTTACTGATACATTTTCAGTGGAATTTACTTGAGTAAAAAATCCATATGAAGATCACAAAGGAAGAGCAATTCATTGAATGAGTTAAAGTGAGGTATAGTAATAACTATGGTTGTAAAGAGAAAAGGACCAGGCAAACTCATGCAAAATATTTATATAACTTAGAAGATTTGTGAATAAGGCCAAGAGAATTGGACTTCAAGTCTTAAGGGTACACTTAACATCAGTATATATGAAGTGTTTAACAGGCTAATAAGTGGGGAGACCTTATTCTCACTTTAAGTGAGAACTTAGAAGCTTTGGAGTCTGATCCTGTCATGGAAACCATGCAACAACATTAATGAATGGCATCAGTCAACATGAACACAACTTGAGACACAAGAGGCTGATATACTAGATTATGAAACCTTACAGAATTGTTTGTACAGTGCTGGTAACATAAGGCACAGTGGCAAATTTGAGAATTTAATTGTCAGACCCACTATACCTAGACTCAAGTGATTAGTTAAATAAATTGAGGACCTGCAGGGTGTGGTTTAAGCTTTGTCTTAAGATAGCCTTAGTCGTATTAGAGAGTTACAAGAGATATCTCCAAGAAGGGAAGGGGGCATGTTGAGGCATGTTTGAACTCCCTTCTTAGGGACAGCAACTCAGCTTTAGAATACTTCTGGGGTCCTCTTGCCCAAAAGGGGGTTCATTCATTCACCTAGAGGGTTTAAGATTTTATTTTAGTTCACAGAAATGAAACAATACTCCTAGAGGAAGGAAATACACCACTGGGCTCCTGCAAGACTCCAGTCACAGCATTTTCATCAACAGATCAATACATAAAAGTTTATGTGTGGTCCTGATACAGGTCCTTTTCACCCAGGGCTAAACACAGACCCTACTTCCTGGGCCTGAGGAGGCACATAAACTGGTTTGATCAATGCTCCACTTAAGCCACAGCTCCTGGGGAGGGGCGGAATGCTGCAAATGGGACTATATTCCTACTCAATGGCAGTTTTAAAATTAACCTCTGCCGAGAGGCCTCTACCATCAAACAGTTGTCATGTATTTGAAACATACATTCCATCTCCCCAAGCCCCCTGCCTGCAGGGTAGGAAAAGTTGCATATAAAGCCCTAGACAGAAAGCTGAAAGGGAATACCCTCTTGGGAACCCTCATCCACTGTGCCAGAAACTTTGTCTTCCTTCTCTTTTTATCTATCAGTGAAATCTACCCTCTCCCTCAAACCTGGTGGTCTGTGAATTCATTCTGCAAATTTTTTGAGACCAAGGACCCAGTAGAGAGATTCTGGTAACAGTCCTGTTTTAACTCATGCCTGAATGAAACTTATCTCAGCTAAATAATATGCAAGGAAGAGAAATAAAGTGTTAAATGCCAGTGAAGTGAGCACTGTGTCAAAGGACCTAAGTATATTTTGGGTAGAACTTACACATTAGCCAGTTTAAATACACCATAAAGTTAGAGAAATACTATTAATAATATTTACTTGAAAGAAAACATATGTTGACATAGAGCAAGATCACAAGATAAATCACAGGAGGAATGATGAGGGAAATTGAAATAAAAATGAAGATTACAACTTCAGTTCAAAAGATAAAGAAATGGGGCGGTGCCTGTGGCTCAAAGGAGTAATGCACTGGCCCCATATGCCAGAGGTGGTGGGTTCAAACCCAGCCCTGCCCCCCCCAAAAAAACTAAACTAAACTAAAAAGATAAAGAAGTGAAGCAAAAGAAGTGAAGAGGCAGGAAGTATAAAGGAAAGAAAGCGCCATAAGTTTTGTCAGGGAAACTTTTCTTTCCTTCATTAAATTTTTCTGAAAAAAGAAAAGCAAAAATGTCAATATAAATACTTGGACAGAAGATCTTAAGAAAATTCAAATGGATTGAAAAATACTGATGCAAAGTTGAAACTATCAGGATATACACACACACATATACACGCACATTGCAGAAAGCTCACGTTTGTCCTAAAAAAACAGTGAGCAGAAAGTGAAAAGGGGGACAGCAGTGAATTTCCTGAATTGAGAAACCAGTAGAGAGGCAAGAAATGTAAAAGGAAGAAACCACCATAAGTTTTCTCAGGGAAACTTTACCGTTTTCTTCCTGAAGTTCTCCTGAAAAATGAAATGGAAAAGAATTAATATAAATACTCGCAAGTTAAGCCTTAAGAAAATTCAAACATATTGACAAATGCTAATGCAAAGTTCACACTATCAGGGTCCAGCTACACACGCACACGCGCACATTGCAGAAAGCTCACTTTTGTCTTAAAAAACAGTCTGCACTCAGTGAAAAGGAGAAAAGCAGTGAATTTCCTGAATTAAGGCAAGAAAAGTAAAGGGGAGAAAGCACCATAGTTTTGTCAGGGAAACTTTACCTTTTTGTTTCTGAAGTTCTCCTGAAAAATGAAATGGAAACATGTCACTATAAATACTTGGAATGCAAACCTTAAGAAAATCCAAATGGAGTGAAAAATACCAATGCAAAGTTTAAACTATCAGGATACACATACACACATACACCCACATTGCAGAAAGCTCACTTCTGTCCTAAAAGACAGTGAGCACAAGGTGAAAAGGAGAAAAGCAGTGAATTTCCAGAATTGAGAAATCAGTAAGAGGCAAGAAATGTAAAGGGGAGAAAGCACCATAGTTTTGTCAGGGAAACATTACCTTTTTGTTTGTGAAGTTCTTCTAAAAAACGAAATAGAAAAATGTCAATATAAATATTTGGAAGGCAAACCTTAAGAAAATCCAAATGGACTGAAAAATACTAATACAGGCTGATTGAAAAATACTGATGTGCCTGTAGCACAGTGGCTAAGTTGCCAACCACATGCACCGAGGCTGGCGGGCTGGAGCCCTGCTGGGCCAGCTAAGCAACAAAGACAACTGCAACGAAAACATAGCTGGGTGTTGTGGAGGGCGCCTGTAGTTCACCCTACTTGGGAGGCTGAGGCAAGAGAATCACTTAAGCCCAAGAGTTGGAGGTTGCTATGAGCTGTTGAAGGGGCAGCCATGACTCCATTATTTTCTTCTCTCTTTTAGACTAGTAATAC